TTTATAGTGACATGCATTCCATGCCTGTTAGCTACGAAGAAAGAAGGGAAGCAAAAAGGATTTCTGCATCCAATTGAGAAGAACAATATTCCCTTGGATACCATTAATTTGGATCATGTTGGATCTTTGACGCAAACTAGTAAACAGTATTAACATATACTGACAGTGGTGGTCGCTTTCACTAAATTTGTTTGGCTGTTCCCAACAAGAAGCACATCAAGCCGAGAGACTCTAAACAAATAGAAGATCCATCAGCAAACCTTCGGAAACCCACGACGAATAATCACTGACAAAAGCACTGCATTCACTAGTCATGAGTTTCAAGATTACTGTAAGGAGGAGAACATTCTACATGTGACTATTACAACGGGTGTTCCACGAGGCAATGGACAAGTCGGGAGAATACACAGAATATTAATTCTATTACTTACGAAGTTGTGTATAGAGGAACTCTGGCCTTTGGTACAAACACATTAGTTGATTGCAAAGAGCCATTAATAGTACCTTTCAAAGAAGCATCAACTGTACACCTTGTGAACTACTTGTAAGTGCAAAACAAAATGCGAGTAAAAGAAGACATGAAGATAGAGTAAGAGTTTCTAATTAAAATAAAAGCAGTGTAAAATAAAAGTTGTTTCACTCTGAGCATATTCCTACGTGTATAGGAATTCAAAAGTGAAAAGCTGTCTGTAACATCATTGTCATCGTTTTTGGGACCATGAAAGGCTTAGTGTGTGTGTCGGCGAAACACAAAAAACTCGACGCTTTTGAAAAGTACACGGATGCGAAGTTTCACTCAAGGTTTCGGTTGTCTAAAGAAACTGTGCTATATTTGGACTCCGTATTCGGAAAAAACTATCCAACCAGTAACAAGACGAAACAGAGTGTTCAGGTCGACAGACTTAATATCTTCCGACGAAACCCTTCGTATAATTATGATAGAACATCACTTACAAGTAAATTCGTTTAATCATTAATTGTATGTTAACAAGAATTTTTAATCAGGACCCAGTAGACATTTTTTTTTGGCAGCATTCAAAGCTTAGGAGTCAGAAACATATCACCAAACTGCCAAGCATTTAAAGGTACTTTCAAAACACTTTTACAAAACAATTATACTTGTCAGCAATCTATAAATGCCAACTGCGAAAAAGATTTCAATGAATGTTGTAAACAATCCACTAGAACTGTTAAAGGAGGTCACATGTTAACTGACATTAGTGATGAAAAACGAAATTGTATTTTTAAATTTATTGTGTCTGTGAATGTCAATAAGATGTCAATGTAAAATAAATGCCTTTTTAACAAGTAGTTGTGGTTTTAAATTTATGCTAAATTAATAGTTGGTGTGTGGTGAAATTAAATATCAAGAACATTAATAAGTCAACAAAAGATTACAATTGAACAAGAACTTCACAATGATTTTGTTATAAGTGAAGAAATGTACGAGGCAATAACTAATATACCAAAAGGAGTATGTGATATCTCTATAACTCCTAAAAGATATGTTTGTGACGAGGTGCTAAGAAAATGTTTGAAAGAGATTGTAAAAAGCTGCGAAACGTATCGAAGAACATTAACTACAAGAAATTTAAATAGAGAAATACAACTCAAACAAACAATGGCTGTGTTACCCACCGGTCTGATCAACTGTCAAATACTGTTTAAAAAACAAACCTTTAAAAAAATAAACCAAAAGAACATATAAAAGTTCTCATATATATTCACAGAATTTCAGATTAATAAACAAATTTTTTATAATCACCTCTGTACCATTTAGAACAGCTGGCTCCTTAAAGTAACAATTTCTGTTAGTAATGTTGGTGTGAAATAATAGCACATTAATTGTAGCCATGTTGTTTCATGAGTTTATTTTCAAATAATTTTATAAGTGATACAATAAATGTATTTTTGCTAAAGTCAAATCTAACCTAAAATATTACAAGAGCCTCGATCAGTCAAGTTTGTTTGATATTTAAATTAAGGTTAGATTATTATGACAACTAATAATGCTATATAATATCATAAAACGGATAAACTATACAGTACATCCCTACTGCATCTTGTCTGTGATAATTCCAAACATTGAAAAGAAATGAATGAATGGATTAATGTCAGGTGAGTCAGCACAGCAAGTCACTGATCTGTCAACCAAACTGTCACCTCCCTACACGCCACATACTTTATTTGTTTCTTTTCGTTTCATTTGATTTTGTTTTAGAGTTTGGAGTAATCTGTGATGTTCATTTTATAATATAATTATAATTCAGGACAATCTTACAGTTGTTTACTTGTGTTAGTTAGTTAATTACTAGGAATTAGATAATGCCAAGGGGGCCACTAATGGTTTTCGACAAAGTCTAAAAAGAAATATATCAAGGATGGCAAGAAAAGGTTGCCGCGCAATCATTGAAGCAAAAAGTATTAGCATATCCTAAAAATATAATAGAGCATTTTATGAAGTTATTAGAGCTACATATTATATGTGCCATTTGGTAAATATTGTTGTTCAGAATAAATACATTAAGAATTTGAAGTCAAATCTGTACTCATTTTACATTATCACTTCACCGAAAATTACAATACGAAATACGCTGCAGAGATACAGTCTTTTCATTTTGATGATGGGAGTTCAAGACAACGTGTGATCCTACATACTTCTGTCATTTATTATGTAAAAAATGAAGAGATTAGTACCAAATCCTTTTGCACGCTGAGATCTAAAAGAATTTCGTGGTACCATGGCAGTGCACCAAGCTATATGGAGCTGCAATAATCCTGAAGTATTAGCCATGAGGCGTCTTAGTTGTGATATGGGAATTTGCTCTGAAGAATCAGTGCAATGTTCACATGGAAAACCTATTGGCTTCTATAACATTGGGAATACAGCTTTAAGCAACAATACTTATCCATCAAAAACTACGAAAAATAATGCTATAGCTGGGTGCAGTAGAACATCTTTTGGAATTTCCATTTCTAACCAAGACCGCCCTGACCTTAATGTACCATCTGATGATAGCTTCTGGACTAACGTTCCTTCAATGAATGAAAATTTAATGTCTACTACCATGTTTGGTAAGATGAAGATGTGGACTTCGGGTTTGCGGTCGGTTTTATGATCTCTAAGCCATGTCTTTCGATGGCTGTTGTTGCTTTGATTTTGTCGAAAAGTTTCATTCCGAAGATCATCTCATCTCGTTCCACGTCTTGTGTAATGTTGGAAAGGAAGGACATAGATCGCACAATAAGCGACAACTGTTGCTTAGGAAACTTATAGCTTGAAGTTTATTCCCGTCATCTAGTAGCAATTCCAAGCCTTTAGTAAGAGCCGATATACCCTGACCCAATTGCTGCTGGACCGCCTTGATTTTCTTATCGCGCCTTCGGGACACGTCGGATACGGCGGCCGAAATCTCTGGGTTCATTTTCGGCGCTTGTAAGAGAGAGCGATTCTTCGATATGAGATAGCTCTTTACGAGCTTATCCTTGGCTTCTTTGCCAAGGCCTTTTCTAAGTATTTTCTGCCAAAGCTGAGCCAATTTATCATGAATTTTTGGCCCAAACTTTGGAGTATTCTATTTTTTCGACTAAAGCGGTAAGTGTGTTATGTATTTCGGGGTACAGGTCTATTTTTGGAACAGGTTCCACACATTTATCGGTTGTATCTTGACTGTTGTGTTCGTCATCTACAAATAACGATAATGTTTTATTGCGGGTAGATATGAAAAAATTATTTGTCGATGAACAAAGTAATTTTTTCGGGTTATTTATAATTTCCAAAGAACTAGCACTCTGTTAATCTCTGAGAATCGAACATATTATCAACATATTGGCATTACTGTCAAGCACTACACCTGTCGTCATCCTTCGAATGAAAATAATTTCTAAAGTGTTAACCTCTAGGGGTCGTTATTGCCTTCAGGACACACGGCCAACCTCCAGGCGTAATAATTTTATCACTATTTTTTGAAAAAGTAGGTATGCACAAACCTGATTTATCAGAGTTCTCCTCCTCTGACAACCTCCGTGGTCAAGGAGAATCGGACACATTATTCTCTTGGACATGGCTATTTTCCGTAAAATTGGTATGGCCATTTTTATTGGTTTTCTTAAATGGTGTTTTTCTGATTTTACTTGTTGATGGAAGCATTTTATTTCCCGAGTCTTGTAGAACTTTTCTATTTTATGCTGCAGTACGTATCATGCTTTTACCCAATTTTTTACCTTCCCGTTTGTTGAACGATATTATTATGTATTTTAATTTACAATGAATTACGGTATTAGATACAGTGGATTACGCACCAAGCGGCACGTCTCCTCCGTGACGTTCATCAATATTACCGTATTTTCATTACCTTTTGATGTCCCGTTAATTTTTAGAAACATCCTAATCTGCTGCTGATTGCTTTGTCGGTGTCACGTTTTGGTTGTAACTGTGATATTATTCTGATAATATAGATGGACTTTCTCTATCAGGGGTAAGAGCGTTATAAAAACTTGAACAACGTGATAAAAACTTGAACACATTTTGGGTTAAGTATGAGCAATATTTGCTATTTCGTGGATTGTAACTGGTCTTCCTGGGCTTTACAGCATCTATGACTCAAGTGCGGAATAATAATATGTCTTTAAAGGGCCCATCAAACCTAAGGCTTGTAATTTGTTAGTAGTGAGAGGATGAAAGGTAAGAACTACAACACCTGATTATTTCGCTAAGTCTAGAGCTTCAGTGGACAAATGTGACTCATGATTCGTCAATTATAAGCAGATGGATTTTCTGGTGTCGTGCTTGAACACTTAATGAAATGTTTAATTACTTTCACGAATAAGTCACTAGTAATCCAACCTGAAGGACTCATCATTAAGTTTTTCCGAGGAAATATTAAAGAAGGGGGCAGGGCATGATACAACATGTGACTAGAGTGCCTTTTTCTCCTCTTGTTACTTTACTTACTTTAGCTCCTGTTGGAGCCACAACACTGTGGTTTCTGGACGGTCGTTGTGCCGGTTTCGTCAAGATTAAATATTCGAGTTCCATCCTCGAATCTAGGCTCTTTTTCTAGCAATTTACTAAGTACTAAGTACTCTTTCAAATTATTCTGCTTCCACGTCTGCCACTGGGATAAGTTATTATCTGGTTTCTGCTTTTGTTATAGGTTTTTTTGGCATCTTTTATAATTTACCTGTTGGTGTATCTAAATAAATAAATAAATTGTTTTATAACTTAATATAGAAAATGAGCTCATAATACATATTTCATTTTTAAGTCTGTTTGTGGACATAATATTCAGACAGCTGTTTACGATAATTCCTCTGATTGAATAAATGCAAAAACAATCCTACGATTTGACAATTACCGGTACAGAGCAGTAGCAGCAGTAGCAACAAGAAAGAGATTCCATTCGAAATTAAATTTTTATTTTATGATAAAATATTAGCAGATTTTTAGTAAATTTACTAATATTTCTTTTACCATTCCAACTAAGCTCTAGGTTTGTGCAGGATATGGTATTCGACAATAGTCGAATGGCGGGATCCGAACCCCCGACCCCGTGATCGGAAATCCGTACCCTTAACCATTAGGCTACTGACGCTTTAAATTAAATTGCTGGTGAAGAGCGAATAGCAAAATTTAATTCAAAAATGTTCACAAATTACAATATATATAATAAAATAAAATCACCAGATATAAGTTTTATGACAAATATGTTGAGTATATACAATAATAACAAAGCTGTAATGTCACACTGGATGGCTCTTAAGCGAGTTATGCGATATTTAAAAGACACTAAAGAGATTAAGTTATAAACAAAATACAGAAGAGACTACGACTGATGGCTTCTGTGATTCAGACTGGGCAAGTTCAGATGATGACCGACGTTCTTGCACTGGTTACACAATTTGTTTCAGGGAGGAACAATTAGCTGGAACTCAAAACGCCAGGCGTCATTGTGTATACAAGACGCTATGTGACTTAAACAATTTCAAGAGAGTTTTTGGCCTATATTGAAGAATGAAGCAATGATCATCTACAGCGAATTTTAATAAATTATACGAATTACTTTTGATTTTAAAAAATAGTCATTTTCACATAACTGAATAATTATACTTTTTGGAAAATATACAAAAATAGCTCTAATTGCTTGTATCTCAGTACTTTCCTCTTCAAAAATCTCAGTTGTTTTTTTCTAAATGTACATTTAACGTTTGATAATGGTAATTATTCGAATCAGTTCCTTTTAGAAAATAGGTTCCAATTTATTTAACCTATTACACCATTAATTGATAATATATATACCATAAATAGGTTAAGTAAATTCATTAAAAACCACTACTCCGGGGGAAAGTGTTAAAAGTCAAGAGAGGTCAATTTGACCCCGTGTGTACTCAAAAGGTCTGATCAGAGGTGTGTACTCCGAGGGTTAATTATATTTCTTTAGCCTTCAAACAATATTCAAGACAAGCAATAGTTTCTTTAATCAACAATTGTGGACAACAAGTAAAACAAAAATATTGCATTATCAAAAATATGCAATGTCTGAATTTAAAAAATTCCAAAAAACCAAATTCAGAAACAAGGTAAGTTACAATTTACTATAATATATTCACCTCTAAGAGTAGGATCAAGGCTCTCAATGAGGATATGTAAGACCCAAAGAAAACTACATTGAAGTTAAAAATCTCTTTGTTAAATATGTACATGTTTGATCACCAATATTTTGTTACTGTAAATTTGTCTAACATTATAAATGTTGTTGTTGTTGTACTTGACATAAATAAATGACCACCAAAAGAAAAGTTAACCATTATATCTGATCAATATTGGATATGGATGCTCACACTAAAGTGCAGGATAAAAAATTGCACACTGCACATGAGACAAACTTATTTACTTTTTTTTTTCCATTATTAAAGAGATAATTCTTTAAATGATTTACCTACAGACAGACTATTTTTCTTAAATTCTATACAAACAACATGACATGGAAAAAACCACATTTTTGCACAAAACCTGTAACAACATTCTATAACAGTTAAAATAATTATAAAATAATCAACTTCTCACACACACCATGTTCATAATATGTAATACTTGAAATGAACGTAGGAGAAAAAGCAAAAACAGCCCTGCTCATAGTATCAAACTAGTAGCAGCAATAGCTGCGCCTCTCGTCATTTGACCGTCAGTGAAAGTTTGCTGTATTGTACTGCATTTTGAGCAATAAGACTTACAAAAGACTATAGAACAGAAATTTACACGATCATAACCTCATAACAACACCTACACAACATGAGCGCTATTTTGACGAAAATTACTTTAATATTTTTGTAGTATAACAAAGGAAACGGTAAAACTTTGAAGAGTCAACTACAAAACTTATTAAGCGTATAATGTCCGTAACAGCAACAATTCGTATTCGTGGTACTAGACGTGCAAAATAAATGAAAAGAAATGGAGGAACGAATTAAAAATTTCAGAAAATGTTGGTAAAACAAAACAATAACCAACATCATAAATCACTGGTCTCTATAAATGGATAGGCGATTACTTTTAAGTGACTGCTTTGACCATGTTCCGTTTTAAACACGCCTGTTGATGCTTCGTGACAGTTAAATCTATCTATTTGATTAGTTCGATGAGACAGCACCGCTGGAAATCGCAGCCATCAGCGCCAAAATGGTGGTAATCAAATAGGCACAAAATACAACGTCAAATAGCCAGTCCATTTAGTCACAAAGTCATTCGTTCAATAAAGATTAAGGTTATCAGTTGTCGAAGGTTCAAAGATTAAAGTGAAAATGATAGACATGAAATTATAATACATGGACAGGCTACAAACTGTGGTATTTTGTGCCTATTTGATTTCACCGTTTTGACACTGACGGTAGCGGTGCTTTGCAGTTGATATCGAATAAATAATAGATATAAAATTAACTGTCAAGAACTTTTACACATCTAACGAAAACAACTTCTTTTGGAACGAACAGAGCTGTCATTTCCAAAAAATTACTTTTCCATTTATAGAGACCAGTGGCGACAATTATCGGTTGTACGACGCTGAGGCGTCACTTTGAATTTTTATTTCTCAGATACGTAATATATCTTAGTAGCTTTGTAATTTGTTAATGGGTCGACGGTTGAAGTAAAAATAAAACTAATTGATTTTGCTATTCAAAGTTAGTTTATTTGCAAAGTGTCAATGACAGCGCGTGCCGCATGTGGACGCGGCTCTCGACTTTTCCCCTCAAACAATATTACGTGTAAAAAAGCATTATTGCATTACCGTTGAAAGTACGTTACAAACCCGATCGAAGCCTTCACTAACATTTCAAACATTTTACATTTCACAAATTCATTACGCACTGCCGCTGCCGCTGCCGCTGATGCTCCCCGACAAGATAAAACCACTCTTATCTATTAAAAATATTGCACATTAAATTCGTGTTTTACGACATTCAAATTCAAGCAGAAGTTAATAGTAAGTTGGAACTGCCGAAACGCGCATCGTATTGCTATCTCTATTTTTTAACCAGACTGAAAGGGATGGAAATATCGAATCATCGAGTCGTAGTTTGTACGTGTTTCGGCAGCTCGAACTGAAGATAAGGCTTTTAAAATATTCGAATAAATATATTACATAGAAAATTTTCGTGGTATTTAATACTATATATTGTTTCATTTTCTTTTACAAGTTGATCAACACTAAAAGTAGCTTTTTAACAATTTGCAATAGTTTAGTTAGTTTCAAACGTCAGCCAAGTCACAACTGTCTTTCAATATGCATTCTCTAATAAATGGTACAATATAAAAAGGTTTGGTCCTAGAAAGTCGTGCTAGTATGCTTTGATTTCGGGGCCTAAATAAAAACGTGGCGTGCTGTACAAACTGCATCACAATAATACATCCTTTTATCTCAAATCAAATTTTATACTATTTTAAATGAATTTTTGGTTGTCTTTATTATCGTAAAAATAAATATGTTTAGTTTTGTTTAACTTTTAAAAACGGCCCCATTTAAATGATTATATAAATTATTTTTTCTTACAACGCTCGATCTAATTAATATTTATGATATAAATATACATACACAGGTCAATTTCTAAAATTCTACAATTTACCAAGAATTTATTTTCCAATCTTTCAATACTTTTAACGAAGCGATTTTTTAACTATTCAGTATTTAATATGCTTCGCTTCGTAAATCCTGACCAAAAGATCGTCTCGTGTTACAGAATACAATCGTTTATAGATATTATTTTTCAGGCAATATTTCATTTACAATTTAAAATATAATGCCGAAGATAACACAAGGAAACTATTTGAATAGTATTAGATTAAGGGTTTTTTAATTTGTTGATTTAGGTGGATTCAGGGGATATTTTCA